ACCCCAGCTCAGTTTGAAGCTCAGTTGATCCTTCCAGGGAGTGAAGATCCGATAGATCCAGTTAGCAGGACGACTTCCTGCCAAGAGCCAAAGACAAAACAAAGTTAAACTCAGGTTGACAAAAACTCAGCTTGGCTAGAGTACCCTAAACTGGCAAACACTCTGGCGTCGAAGTAGTGGCAGTCAGCAGCTTAAGAACACTCCGTTTAACGAGGAAACCATCAGCAGGTGTGTGAGGAGGCGGACCAGAACCAGGCGCCTCCTGGTGGATGAAGGGAGACAAACACAGAAACACAAACATAAAAACTGACACAGTGGTTCTGGATGACCCCCCTCATGTAACATTGGATCCCCTCGTTCAGTCATCTTTCTATACTCTGATGTAAGATTTGCTTTTCACTTCTAATAGTGTGAATCAACATATGCTCCTTATAATTCACCAGTTATTTTTCAGACTAGCACCTGCTTTAGTAACAATGCACCTTATTAGTTCGACAAGTTTGACAATAGCTCCCTTACCATCCCTTACCTCAATTCTTTGCAATTTTCAGTAATTTTTTTTAGATTTCGAATGCAGAGGTGTGGAGAGATGTTTTAAAAAGAGTTAACAGTTAGTTGTACCCTAATCCCATCTCCCATCACTCTGTGAGCCTTTTAGTATCTTGGAAACAAAAATGGAAATTATTTGTTGGCATCAAGGGGTTGTTAACACCGTTGTTGCCCACTAGGGATGGTCATTGTTGTCATGCTCATGAGCGTCAGGTCTGAGAGCCAAACCTCCCATCACAACTCAGCTGTGAACCATTGAGGGAAAATATCACCGTTATCATGAATTAGAGCTTTTATGCAGCCTTTGTACAGCGATTCTATTTATGCCTGAAGCCAAAGCCAGATTGCAATAAATGTACAGAAAAACACTGAACGTTAACAGCATCTGGATTATTCATAACAATTCACTACAGTCAGACTAGATTTAAATTATAATAAAATAGAGTTACATTTATTTTTGTGTACACTTGTGTATACAAGTGTACACAAAAATAGGCCCATAGGGGGCGCTGGGGCACCGCCCTCCCTGATAAGAAGAGAGAAACGTAAAATCTATTTTTACAAATTAACTCATAAATGTCAGTTTTACTCTCTAGAGTGTGTACCTATAAGCAAAACAAATTATATAAACTACATTTCCCAACCTACTGTCATTCATTTGTGGATTTCCACAGACGTGTGTACGCTAAGGGAACTTGTCATCTTCAGTCTGCCGGCGTCTTTGCTAGGTTCAAACCCGAGGCAACGCTCAGTAAGCGGTTAAAATGCCACAGTTGTTGGAATGCGAAAGTGACGTCACCAACACGTGACTCGCTAAATGTTTGTCAGATTATTATTTTTTTTTATTTTATGTTTAAAAGTTTGGTGTAATTGAATAAGTCAATGAATCTGTGTAAAGGAATTAAGTTGAAAAAAATATTTGTTTTTGTATATCAATTGTTTGTGGAGGTAATATATGGACAAAACTGATTTATGAAAAGAAATCAGAAATAAGAGAGCCTGAGGGGAGGGGCTTAAACTATTTAATGAGGGCTGTGTTTTGTCATGATGGGTTACAGAGTAAGCCCAATATGCAGAACACACACGGAGGCTGGATAAAAAGTTTAACAAGGTTTATTGAAACACAAGCACATGAATATTGCAATGGAACTGGAACTGGTCAGGGGGCAGGTTCACTGGAGTCTGCAGGGATGATAGTTCAGTTAGCAAACGGACTGATGAGTTATGAGTCTTAGATATTTCTGAGGAATACCTTGAAGAAGTCCGGGTTTCTCTTTGAGAGAGGAAACTGTTGGGTCCAGAGACTGTTTGTTCAGCAGAGTCAGATAATTGCTTCAGCGTCTTACTTCTGACTTTGAGGGCAGACCTTGATTTGAGTTTCCAGCTCTTAGCCAAGAGCTGCAGGGGAATCCACAGAAGAGTCTTCAGGTTTGGCTCACGAGGGCAGGCTCGGCAGGTTAAGCTCATCCAGAGCCTCAGGGAGAGACAGGATTCCTGTGAGGCAAAAAACAAGGAAGAGTTAGAATCTTATCTCATCAAGAGATAGCTAAGATTCTCAGGTTACTAGGCTCAGGTCGCTAACCAAACTAGATCAACACTGCGGCGTTGAAGCAAGGTCTGAAAGCAGGTTATATAGCGCTGGAACTCAGATGATGAGATGCGCCACAGGTGTGTTGGAGGCTCAGCTCAGGAGGACCCACGGCGCACTCTGCTGGAGGAAGGTGGTACAGCTCCAGATCCCAACATGTTTTGATTGTTACATTGCTGGTAACTGCAGGGAGGCTGAGGCCAAGAGTATTTTGTATATGTTTAGTTTCTTTTGCACCCTGTTTTGAGTTTTTGAGCACAGTAAATCACCAACACCGGTAACCCGACCGAGCCTGGATTCTTGGAGGCCAAAAAACCCTGTCACAGTGACCAAAATCATCACTGTTACTGTTATTATATAGTAAATCAAATAATTACTGTTAAATTGTATTTATTATCCAATTGTTTATTTGAATTCTTATTCTGGATTAGTTGGAGACATACACTAGGCTATATCAGCCCCACCAAAAATATTTTTCACCAGCCGCCACTGCTTTATATATAAACTTTGCTACTCAATCCATAACATTAAATATTAAATGCATCAAAATAAGCAACAAATACTGCATTTCTGGAAGAATATAACTAGAGGAAATATCTGGATGCCAAAAAAAGACATGGAAGCAACTTTAAAATCAATAGAAAATAATTTTTTGTTTGGCTTTTGTTGTGTAATTTGCACATGCTCCTTTTAGCTCCTTTTATTTTGGAATGGTGATTTTGATTTGATTTATTGTTGTTTTCTACTCATCAAAAGTCACAGTGAGGTTTGGGGCTTAAATGTCTACAGGTAGAACACAACAGGGCTGTTTTTTTCCCCTTTTCTGTAATCATAAATGAACTCCCTCCTCTACCAGCTTTATTGATTTTTGAAGTAGGGCAGGAGTGTGTTGCTGTCTCTTCAAGTCTGATGGAACAGAGTCTGCAGACTCATTTTATTACTCGCTTGCATTCAATCTGAAGAACAAAGCAGAAAACAAAGACAAACTTTGTATAGAAAATAATTCTCCATTTATTTCATCCTCTGACGGCAATAGTATTTGATTGGGGTTAAAAAGCAAATGGTGAATAATGCAAACACAAGAAATGTGATGAAAATATGTTGAAGAGGGGAAAAAAAAGGAAAAAAGGAAAACTTTAAGCCTTCGGAGTTTACAGTGATGTGGTTAAAGGTGCCATTGTTGCAAACAAAACACATTTTGGTCAAATATAAAGCTGATTTTTTGCATTTAGCCAAAAACACAAAAACAATTAGCATCAATTTAATCGACATTTATCTTCAATGGTTGCATTTGCTCTTAGATAAAAAGATAATTTAAATAGTATTGATGGAAATTTATCATTGAATTTCACTTTTCAAAATACACAAAGACATTAAATTGACTGCGAGTCCTTGACAGCGTTAAGGTTGATGTGTTCAATATTTTTGGCACATATTGGCTCTAAACACACAGCAGTTCTGTGTTTGATGAAGGAGTCACTTTAGAAATTACTTTGCTTGTGAATGGCAGTAATGGCTCACATGACAGAATAAGCTATTCAAATGGGCTTAACTTTCTCTCAAGTACTACTTTAAATGTTGGCCTCTTATGCATCAATGTCAGATTGTCGATGAGACAAATCCAGCTCATCAAAAAATAAATAAAGGTATTAGAAAAGATTGTAAAGAGACTAATTTGACTAAACTTTCATTTACATAATAATTTACATAATTTACATAAGTTCAGCATAATTTCTACGCAAACCCAGGAAAATTAGGTGAAGATGTGCTAGATTTGTCATTTAGCTGCCAGAAGGTAATTTTCTGACAGTTAAGGTAGCATTTTAGCTAAGAGCTAATTTAGACAGCCGGTCAGATCAGTAGGATCTCTGTAATGATTATTGTCTAGTTTTCACTTGGAATTAGATCGTTTTTGCACATGGATGTGGTTTTCTCTGGCTATAAGTTTAGCGTCGTCGTCTCCCGCTTCATCCGGAACCGGGTCACGGGGGCAGCAGACTAAGCAGAGACTCCCAGACTTCTCTCCGCAGACACCTCCTCCAGCTCTGTAGGGGGAAGCCCTAGGCGCTCCCAGGCCTGGGTCGTCCCCTGGGCCTCCTCCCGGTGGGACGTGCCTGGAACACCTCCCGAGGGAGGCGTCCAGGGGGCATCCGAAGAAGATGTCCGAGCCACCTCAACTGACTCCTCTTGATGTGGAGAGAACCGGCTCTACACTGAGCCTCTCCCGAATGACCGAGCTCCTCACCCTATATCTAAGGGAGAGCCCAGCCACCCTGCGGAGGAAGCTCATTTCAGCTGCTTGTATCTGGGATCTCGTTCTTTCGGTCATGATCCAGATTTCATGACCACAGGTGAGGGCAGGAACGTAGACCGACCGGTAAATTGAGAGCTTTGCCTTTTCGCTCAGCTCTCTCTTCACCACGACAGACCGGTGAAGCGTCCGCATTATTGCAGCAGCCGCACCGATCCGTCTATCGATCTCCCGCTCCATTCTTCCCTCACCCGTGAACAGGACCCCAAGATACTTGAACTCCTCCACTTGAGGCAGGGACTCTCCTCCAACCTGAAGGGGACAAGCCACCTTTTTCCGGTCGAGAACCGGAAAATCGATAAGTTTAGCATTTACATTATTTGGGGAAGTAAGCCTTCGCCCTAGCCTGAAGACTTTTGTGGCGTCTTACAGGTTTTTTTTCCAGGCTTACTCTGTTTAACTCGCTACATTCAATTTCTGACCAGTTTCCTTGAAGAAAAACATCCCAACACGACTCTTCTGGCACCATTTTTGTATACAGGCTTAGCGTTTCTCCACGCATTCATGTGAAAAAGTTTAATTTCCATCATGCCCCAGTCCATGTTGGTATGTAACCTATAATAACAATAGAAATACACTGAAATTTGTTCTAAATTGACAAAATGCGAAACATTCAATAAGGATCAACGGCTTTGCAAAGCACTGTATATTTACTCCATTTCTTCCTAAGTCTGCTTGTGTTAAATACTGATTGCCTGCTCTAAAAAGGTTTTCAGACCACCTCACATTCACATCACAGAACTGCTCAGGCACATATACAGAGACATACATCACAAGACTGTAGGTTTACTGCAGGCTCCAGTTGCTGGCTGAGCTTGTCAGCGACTCTGCTCCTCTCAGCCAAACTGATGTGGAAGCAGTAGGCGTGAAGACAGCAGAGCACACCACTAAAGATAGGCTTCATTTTCTTTCTCCACGATCCTTTATTTGCATGAAGACAGCTGCCTGCTAGTTGTGCAATTAAGCTTATGAAGAGGGTGATATTATCAATCTATCGGGGAGAGCTGTGGCTCCCTGTTTTCTGGAGTTGTCCCTGGTCCTATAGTTGCTTTACTCTCGGCCCCGGGCAAAGCAGTCACACATGCCCTGACACAGGCACTGACAGAAGCCGTACACTAGGCAAACTGTCAGACTGGATGGCACTAAGCTAACACATACAATTCCTAGAGTCACTCTCTGGATCACTAACAGGTAAATTCCCAACGGCAGCGAGCCGAAGTATAAGAAACCGAGCAGCCAAACCAAGATACGCGGCACATGATAGCAGAGCTTAGACAGCGCATCATGGTCAGTGGGTCCATTGGAGCCTATTGATACGGAGTCCAGGCTCTGTTCTGCGTAGACATCCAAGCTGCCGTTGTGGCTCGGAGACCGCTGGGAGTCCCTTTGGAGCTCCATTATGGTGATGACCAGGCAGTTCGAGGAGTCATGAGATGGGCTGGTGGAGGACAGACTCTTTGGAGTCAGGACCACCTCCCTCTTCTGGTCCAAGCTGCAGGACTTGTCCCGCGTAGCCAGGTGGGACATGATGTTTACGTCATCAGGAAGGGCAGAGACCTGTTGCTCAGGGATTTCAGTTTGGTGTCGGCAGAAAGGGCAGGGGATGCAGCCTGCTCCGTCGGTGATGTCCAGAATCTTAATGAGGCAGCGGGAGCACACCCGATGCAGACAGCCCAGGATCTTAGGCTTCCGATTGTTTGCATTGTAGCGCTGGTAACAGATTTTACACTCTAATTCCTCTGGAGGAGGACAGTCCTTCTCGTCTGACGCAGGCTCAGGACTGCCCATCTTCAAGTCATGTTCTGTGGATATATAAGGGAGCAGATTGAAAAGAGAGGGTTAGATTGATAAAAGATAAGGCTTGGCTTATGGGTGAAGTCTGATGTAAGAGAACAGACAGAAAAAAATAGGATGTTTTAGTTCCAACATGGAAAGGTCAGGCCTCAGCCTTCCCTGACTGCTCTGGCTCTGTGTCCCTGCCAGTGATGAATGATTTATGGCCTGGGAATCAGATCAGGGTGTCATCCCTGTGCCCTTTGTGGCAAAGCTAAACCCAGTGGTGATATCGATCTGTGTGGAGAGGCGATAGAAGGAGAAACACCTTTAATATTTTCTCTAAGTTCTTGTCTGGACCACAGCAGAATAGCAGTTGTTTAATCACCAATCTTTAACCCTCTATGGAATGTTTTTTTCTTTTATTTTGAGGGAAAAAAAATATTTCACCCTAGTTTTTGGGAGCTTGGCCATCCCTTATAAAATATCAGTTCTAACATGTTCAGTTTCTACCCAAATATTTTCGTTTTGTTGTGGATTTTTGTAACAGAACGGATCATACATGGTTTGTATGAGCTATGTTTGTTCTCTGCTTCCAAACTCTGCATCTCTTCATCCATGCCTGAGATTAGAAGTTTCTTTGGAAGTTGTGAGAGGCGCTCTTTGGCGTTTTGACTGGATTTGATGAAACTTTTAAGCCTTTTAGTATAAAATAAATGTTTTGATCAAGATGAGAAATCTGTTTCCTGCTGTGTTGAAGTACCAATAGTTTGCATCCAATCATTTAAACAAATGGTCTTAGTTTTTGGGAATATATAAGCTCATAAATGAGCCTGGAATGTATGGAAGCAAATCGTTACCATATTTTTAATGAAAAAGCATTTTCAGAAATGCTTTTTTATTTTAAGAATGTGGCGGTATTGTTTGACTCATAAATGGAATTAGTAATCAGTAATCCTGTTTGCATTTTAATTTTATTCTTTAACACTGCTCATCCTTTTACTTAAAGCTACAGTGTGTAATTTTCAGCGACATCTAACGTCCAGACTGCAGACCGCAGCAACATGAACATCTCCCCCCCACCGCTTCTCACCCCCAACAGTACGGCGAGCGTTACGGGACAAAATGTCTTCCACGACGTCCGCATCACCTACCTTCTCAAGTGATGAGGTTTGTTTACATAGATAATTTTACAGATAGTATTTCATTAGTCTGTGTGTTCAGTACCGTCTCAGTTCATCTCTCTCAACTTGCCGTAGTTACTTTCGAGCGTAATGGGCGATCTCGCTATCGCTAGTTTGTTGGCTCTGCGCTGCCGTAGCGCAAAGATGTCTGCCTCCATGGCTGCGAGACCCGCTCCTATGTAATTATAAATAACGAATTCTAAGGCAACGCAAATATTAAGGTTAAGAGGCTGAGCTCGTAGATGATGATAAATAACATAGTTATGTATAATATATTACATTTCTGACTGTATATCCCTGTAATTATTACACACTGTAGCTTTAATTAAAATGAAAAAGGAAAAGACATTTGAGATTTATTTTTCAAAATGTACCTCAGCAAATACATACCAAAATTCAATTTGAAATGTAAAATTTGAAAATGAAAAAGCATTTCTGGAAATGCTTTTTCATTTTAAGAATGTGGATGCATTGTTTGACTCATAAATTAAATTAGTAATCAATCATCCTATTTGCATTTTCATTTTCTTCTTTAAGACTGCACATTTTATGCCATAATCAAAGAGAAAACACAGCGGACATTGCTTTTTTGTTTTCGTGGTCTGCCAGCAAAGTACTGTCCATAACTCGAAAATGAAAAAAGCATTCTGAGCGACGGGCGCAGCAGACTGACGTCAGCCGCTCTTCCTCAGGTCCTTGCTGACCGGGCTACCCATCTTGTTCGGTAGGGGGCGCTGTGCAGTGTTGTGCCTGAACGCATTCATTGAACGTAAGTTCATGAACGCGTTCATATTTTGGGCGAACGTGAACTGAACGTACTGCATTACTGCCTGATGAACGTTATTGTGAACTCGTTCATTCTAGTGTCTGTGAACGGCACGCTCTCTCAGTTCAACTTCGTTCAATAGGTTGACAAATTTCTATAGAGCCCTCCAGGCGAAACCCCGGCTAAATCACACCGTAAACAGGCCTTAATATGTAGCGGGAAAAACACCCAATCTGGCAACACCAGCTACCAGTGTCGTAGCCTACAGCCGCGTGCGTCATCAAAACAAAATGCAGCGTGGGAGCCACAGCAGCATGGAGGCGACCGTGGAGGCGACAAAGCAGCAGTATGATCACTTAAAACAGTTTTATGACCAGGTGGTCGGTGAGGATGATGGAAATAATCTTACATTTCTCTACAAACTTTGCCCGCCGGCTTTCAGTAAAAAAATCCACACTTAAACCTGCCTGGTATAATTTTCCAGGATTTTAGTATTCCTTTTTAGTATGTATTTAAATGAAATTTCAAATGGAAAAATTTATTAAAATAAAAAAATAAAAACATTTGCACCTTAAAAACTACTTTCCTGTTTTTCTTTTTATAATTCCTCATAAAAAAGACCATTCAAGCAGCACATTTTTCCTGATGTTTTTGAGAATATACTGTAGGGGTGAAAGCTGCAGCTGCTACTAGTGTGAAGTGAATGGACAGCAACAAAGCATTAAAGCAACAATGGGGAAATGCTGCTCCCTCAATGCTAATGTAAACCCTGGTTGGATAAGGATTCAAAACTGAATATGAAGATGAAATCTGACGCACAGTTTCAGAGTTACAACTGATAAAATAATTGCTGTCTGTGGTTCTACAGTAGGCTATGGTGTAATTGAGCAATACATGAAAAAAAAAGAACTAGTTCATTTTTTGGAACTGTGAACTTAGTTAAAAAAATTTGAATTATGAACTATGAACTGAACTACTTCATTTTAAAATGTGTGAACTGAACTTTGAACTAGTTCACGTAGAAAGAGAACTTTCCCAACACTGGCACTGTGCACGTCTGCATTGCATTACATTTTAAGTGTGCGGGAACTGGTTGACATTCTGAACGGCCACAATGACCAAAACAGTGGAAGAACTACTGAGGAAGGCCGCTGCTGCTTTAGAGTAAGTGCCTGCTTCTAGCTGACCTGTGGCAACGCCGACTGCTCCTGGTTTCTTTCCCTGAGGGAAACACCATGCCATAGAGGGTTAAGGTGCATTTGTTTAAATCCTCTTCAGTTCTTTCTGGATTGATTACCACTTGACAATGACTCTATCAATATTACTAATGATGATGCATCTCATTCATCAGTCCTTTCATAGATATGATTTAGTTTAGAGACTTTTTCGTTTGTTTTGGAGAAAGTCAAATCTAAAATTTAATGATGATGAGCTTTATTGATCTCACAGTGGAGAAATTCACTGGTCACATATTGGCATAGTAATTAAAGAAGGTGCAAACAAGGAGGAAAAGGTGCATTAGGAATAAAAATAAATAAAAAGAATAAAAATAAGAAATAAAAAATAAAAATATACAAGGGAGTAACACAGAGATTTGAGGTGACATATGTACAATCAGGATGGCTTATATACAGGTGAATTGACTTAACATTAAAGTGTAGTAGGTAAGGAACAACGGTGAGGTAGTGGTATGACTATTATATTCAAAATAAATAAAATATATAGGTGAAAACATAGATGTTCTGAAAAAGCTTTTCCTTCAACCTCTTAGCACCAAACTGCTGTGCAAAGGACGTTCTGTTTCACAATCCACTAAATCAAATCAGTTGCATGTCTGTTTACTTCCTAACAGCTTTTAGTCTCTTATGAGGTTGGAGGATATAAAACAAGGAACTTTCTTTGACTGCTGTTGCAGCTTGTCCTTCAACTCTCAATACATAACAAAACAGTTTAACAACCTTTTCACCTCTTACCACTCTTACACTTTTATCTTTGTATCACATATTTCATCCTAACATAACCTTCTTCTTTACATCTTTTGAAATGGCCCTTTCATACGATTTCTTATTGTGGCATTTTAAGATGAGGACCGCTGCAAAATAAAGAGAAATGTGAAAAACAATCTGCTTTTCTAGACACCCTAACGATGTTTCATTATTACAGCGCCACCATTGATGGATGTGGGCTTTTCTTTAATAAACCTGTGGATGCTGATGAAGGTTCTCAGTCATCCAGGTCATAGTCATTCCGCAAAATTCAAAAAATATCCACTGGACTTGGTTTTCAAGATTTGAAGACGTTTCGCCACCTCTCCAGGAACACACACACAAAAAGACTTACACACATTTCCTAGCAAAACATCCTGATCAGAGCTGATAAATACATGTCTGTAATACATTTTAAAGTCCTTTTGACATCCTCAAAGATTATAAAGTTAAAATAGGCTTTTAACATTCTGCTGTAGCCTTCATCAGATAGCAGAGCACATGTTTAGGGTGCAGCTCCGTAAATGTTGGAGGCTACAGTAGGAAAACAAAACACAGGTAAAGCTGAGCATCGTGGAGAAGTAGCAGCAGAGAAAACTGTTGATTTTAGGACTTTAACACACCACATATTTGTAATTTATTTCAAAAGTGATGCATTTCGATATGCCATATTTATTATATATGCATATTATGTGTCAATAATGAAACAGAAAAGGGGGACAGCTCAAAGAAACTGTTAAATTTTTAGCTTTAAAGAATATCTTCATCTTTAATCATATATCTTTGCTTCTATGTTCATACATATAACAGCATGTAGCAGTGAAACAGTTTAAGATCACAGACTTTGAGCAGAACTGCTTTATGTTAGAGTTTCTATTGTTTTAGGGATAAAATGAACATGATCAACCTTTGGTACTTATCTGTTATTTTGATTATACTATTTCGAATTTTTCATTATTAATAATTACTAATATGTTTTGTTTACTGTCAAAGCGGTATTGTTATTTCCTCGATCCTTCTGGTGACAACCTTTTCTTTGGTGAGTTTTTCACATTAAATGCACTGAAACATCTTCTTTCAAGGTCCTAATTCAT